GTGATCTTAATATTGTTTCTGTCTTTTATGTTTGGTATGTATATATGTCTTTGTAATCCTTGTCTTGAAGGAACCTCTTTTGTATTCTGTTCCCATTATTTGGTTTACGATTAAATGCTGTTGCCAGTGATGATGATATGATTCCTGGGAAAGAAAGAGTGATAGATGGCCTTTATCATTAAGGAAAAAATAAAAAGCAGTCTTTGGTCAATATAGGCTCTATATATGGATGTACTGCATAGATCTTGTTTTGAGATGATTTTGTGTGGCCTAGGACTGATTAACACAGCTGGTCAGACTAATGAACTTTTCTAAATCTAGCTGTTTAAAGGCGTAAAACATCACCAGAGAGCTGGGGGCTCTCCTTTTGTTCTGGAGTTAATTGCTTCTTCAGTACAGGGTTGGCTTGAAGGCTAGCACTTGTGGTCGCAGGAAGCCTTGTAAATACTCGTTTGAATGTGTTTTGGTATTGCTAGCCAGCTGCTGTAAGACATTTTGGGGTTGCTTTAAAAAAGAAGAAAAACACATGAGAATCATGTGATGTTACATCTGAAATTTACTTGCCTTCTGGGTTTCTGAAATTAATGTTTTCAAGTTTCTCTCTGCAACCAAGAGAACAAAAAGCATGTAGAGAAAAAATCAAAACTGAGTCTCATGTAATCACAAGAGTTTAGAAGATGGGCTTTTAAGAAAAACATTGAAATATCAGTGATTTATTGAGGCATTTATAGAAGTTGATGGCTCTACTAGCATGGCTTTGATTTCCTGTCGTCCTACTGTAGTTTTTAGGTGTTCAATCAGTGGAAGTAACTAATATAATAAGCTCATTTTGGGTGATTATTTCTAGACACAGTCACTGTCTTTGAAAATAAGCTGTCTTGACGTGCAGAGTTCATTGCAGAATGTCATTGTGAGGTTTTATGGCTCAGGATCTTTAGTGGAGGATCTAGAAAGCCATCCCTGAAATTCCGTGTGCACAGTACAGCGACTGGGGTTTCAGCTGGCTTTGGTGCTGCTGTGTGACAGCAGAGGGTGCTAGTGCCATCCCCGAGGAACGCAGAAGGGTTCTCGGTGTTCTAGAACGCAGATTTCAGTATGCATTTATATGTGCACTATTGCAGTAAGGAGACTGGAGGCTTTTATTAATGCAGAGAATTATGCATTATTAGTGCAGAGAGGTCTGAAAGAGAGGTGTGTTTCTGTTTGTGATTTGATGGAGTGTTTGGAGCTATAAATTACAGAAAAAATACTTTACCTTGTTGTTACAAGAAGCCCCTGAGAATTGGTGACGACGATGGGGAAAGGTAGGTTACATGGTGAATTCAGTCCTGCAGTGGGGCCATGCGGGAAGATGCGGGAACATGTCCAAAAAGAGCATTGCAGTTTGGCACTTAGAAAGCATCTGCTGCTTAGAACAACTGCTACCTGGCTAGAGGTTGATCTTCATCCCAGCCAGATGTAGAATCTGATGATTTTACAGAAGAGATTAGAGAGACAAACAGCAACTTGGCATGCACCTAACTGTAGATTACGGAGATTCCTTTTGCTGTAAGAGTGAGCTGTAAAGACCTGGACTAAAAGAGAATCTGTTACGTTATCATCCAGCTGGGAATCTACTTCTAATTAAGTGGGTTTGTGGACAAGAAGGAATGAGTCAGTTTAAATGAGGGAAAAAGACTCCAAAATTTCCAAAGCTACGTGCTTCCGCTCTAGCACAACTCTGACAACACTTCTGTTACGAGAATCTTGTGTACACATCTCCTTAAATAGACCCAAAGAATAAATTCTAAAATTCAGATATAACTGAGGAGCCAATACTCATTTCAATTACCATACTTGGAAGGAAAGTCTTAGAATAGTGAGGAAAGACTAACCATATTGAAAACACTGAACACTAGCCCTTTTCATGTTAGAAAGTTTGGATAGGGAGGGCCCCCCTAAGTAGTATTACATTATGTCTTTTTAAGTGCTGTAGTCTAAAATAGTAAATGCAATTTGTTTTGAAGTATTACACTAGAAGTTCTCGGCTTAGAAAAGCTGTAATTCCTGAGTTTGCACCACCTGCTCTGTTAAGTGCTTTTGAGATCAATACAGGAAAGATACTAGCCTGTGAAGATGCTTTGTCTTTTAGAACTGCTACTGGAAGGTGATACATCTGAAGGATACTGGTAGTGAGAGATATGATTAGCAGCCTAATAAATAGGGCAAACATCTCTCTCTGTCTTTTCCTCTAGTGTGTGTTAGCCTATCTACGTTTTTGTTAGAGATTCATCCTGGTTATAAGATTTGACAAATTGCCTCATCAACTGTTGCCAAAATGTTAGTAATGATGATGTGGAACCTCTCATGTTTGGGGAATCTGAGCATCTGTTTCGGATTCTGACCTTGATTTCTTGCTTGCTGTAGTTGTTGCATTCTGTCTCTTCTATGTTGTCAGGAAGTATTGCACCCAAAGCGTCAATATTTGTTACAGGCTATTGTTGTTACGGTCTGGGTTAGTTCTTGGTGCAGAGGTTGACTGAAACCTGTTTTTCATTGAAAATGTTTTTTAATGTCTTTTATGGAAGTAGGCAGGTGAAATAAACTGTAAATTCTGAACTTGGAACACAAAACCATGCATCTGCCCAGAACAAAAAGGTTGCTCAGGTATTTCCAGCTGGATGGATGAAGGGGCATGACTGGATGAAGGTGAATGACTAGGGAAGAATGACGGTTCAAGTTAAGAAACAAAAGGCTTAGGGTGGCAGCTACAATTCAGATTACTCTTCCATAGTGGGATGTGTCTAAGCCCAAGAAGAGGTATCAAAAGGGGCCTTTAAGTAGCAAAGCTCTTCATGCATCTCCTCTCTCTGCACATGAGGACGCAGAGCTTCATATGTTCTTGTAAATGAATGGAAATACATCAGAGATGCCCA